AAGTAACAAGACATCAAAGAAGACATCCTTAGGTCTGTGCACATTTGAGAAACAACACGTAAATGACAGAGAAGGGAAACCAACAATAAGGCAATCAAAACATACTCTTGGGACTGGAAGGGGGATAAAAATGTTCAGAGCCCTGATTTAATTCAGGAGGCCATTCCTATTCAGAAGCAGAGGTAAACATGACCACCAGCACGACTCTGAACCTATGTTTTCTGGTTTCAATTTGGGCTAGAGTCAGCAGTTCCAAGATCATTCTCTGCTTGTTCCCACTTAACAGTTCAAAATGTCTACCCACACCTTCCCACAATTGCATGCCTTTTTTTATTTTTTTTTTTTAATTTCAGTATAATTTTTCCATTTTGAGTCAAACTTTGCCTTTAGGACAATTATTTAGCTGTATTTCATGTAGTCCTGTTGTGCTTGCTTCAAATAAATCAGTCATTTTTATACTAAACAAAACTTTTTGGTGGCATTACAAATGTCCCACAATATATTCACAATCCGATAATCTATGCTTTCTATTTAAAATCATCTTTCTGCCTTCTGCTTAAAAGCAAGATGGCCAATTTCCAGTCATAGGTATTCATGTGATCAGGATCTCAGAGCCACAGTAGGCCACAGCTTGGGCCTTCCTAATGCTCTATGTTTTCCTGGACTGAGCTTCTCATAATCCAAAATATCTACAGTGTCTTTTACATCAATGGCAAAATCAAGGATGCAAATGTAGAATTTTCTTCCATAATACATATAGCCAACCTATGGGTTGATTAACTTCAAAAGATGTTTTGACAAATAGATAAAAAGTCAAGTTCCAAATTTGGGACCATTTTTCATAATTATTAAAAGAATATTATTAAAATAGTGAGCAATCCTAAAATAAAGTCCAGTTTCAAATCTGTTGCAAAAATTAAACCCATGCAATTATAAGGACCTGAAATCATTGAAGGAATTCAGAAAAGTATGCACTTCTTTAGAGAATTTTTTTCAATTAAAAGGGGGTCATAGCTTCTTGATGATTCCTGAACACATTGAGAACCTTTAGCATCAGCAGTGAGAAATTCCTGCAGCTCTCAAAGCACTCCTGAAAAACAGGTTTGACTTTTTATCTCAGATAATCTTTGTGGTGAGACTCTCAGGAACAGCTGTCATTGTGTCAAAATTAAGCGTAAGTATTCACCTCAAGGCCACAAAAAAAAAAAATCTGCAAAGAAGATGCAAAGAAGGCATAGAAATTCTGGCCTGGGGTATTATTTTTTAAATGACCACACAGAAGGAAACACATAATTATGCAAAGTGTTAAACTGAGTTGGTTATATAAACCAAGCTGGTTACAGGCAAGTTATTAGAATAATAAGGGGTTTTTTACTGATTAAAAACAGGCTGTTATACTTGGATCCTGAGTTATCTTTAGTTAAACACCATTAAATCCACATAAAGTCACTGTGTTTTTGTCAACAGATTTTAGATTGAGTCAGCTCTCTACAAATGGTTATTTACTCTCCTAAAATAAGCACTATTTTATATGACTGTTGGATAAAGAGCTCTGTGAGTTTAATCAGGCACCACTCAAGAGTCACCAAACAAGCTTGAACAAATGGTATCCAGTATTTGTCAGAAAAATATTTACACCAGTTTCCCCAACCCAGTGTTCAGTGCCATCTCTGCAAAATGAGCAGCAAAAAGTTTCTCCTCCCTGAGGCAGGAGTAAGCAAGCAGTCATTTGGTAAGCTCTACTTACAAAAGTTAAATGTGAAGATGACACATCAGTTAACTTAGCGGGAAAAGCAAGGTCTGTACCTCTGACCCCTTCCTGGCTGGGCAAGAATTTTCAGAAATGTTTTCTCAATACTGTGCACCAAGCTGAACATAAGATGGGTAAAGACAGGGGTATGCCATCACTTGTGCAGCAATCAGCATAAACACAAGGTTAGGGAAAACAGCTTTTGGCCCTTGGTCTTTTGTTGTTTGATTGAAGACAACCATGAACAACTGTGAAAAAAGCTGCAGCTAAAAAGGTAGATACAGTACTACATGCTGAATACCAAAATAAACATAGTCTGATTTTGAAATTTAAGGGGGGCAAAAAGAATCCAACCACATTCAAATTCTCTGTAGGTCAAGAGAAAGTTTGTGTTTTTTTATTTTGTTTGAAATGACATTTTTCCAACACCCAACTTCAATAAATGCACCTTTTCATATAGAAAATAACTCAGCACAGCCTCTCCTATGAAAATATTTTTCTCCTGGCAGAACCAGGTTTCATGCCTAACCTCAGATGGTCTGACTACTTTGAGAACAATCAGCCACTTTGATTTATTAAACAAACATGAAAAGACATTCATTCTCCTTACAAAGCAGTTTTCTTCAGTCTTCGTAACACAGACAACAGAATAAAAAAAAAGGGTTGTTTTGCACTACTTCCTTTAACTTTATTGAGTGTCAATCTACACAATTAATATAAAGTTACTTCATTCTATGAAGATCAAGACATTTTACAGTATAAAATTCCCTGAGATACAATATGAAATTTGAGGGATCACATAATTCTCTATTCCATTTACATCATAATCAAAAAGTAATGGTAATTCTTCTCCTTATAAAACCCAGAAGATAACAATCTTCCTTTCTCTCTCTCCACCCCAATATTTTAAGGCATGGAATAAAAACTTTTTCAAAATGTATTCAAGGAAACTTTTCTATTTAAGATAGAAAATAGCTTACCCGATTTTTACAGCTGGATTTTATACATCATCTGCAATGCTTTGTGGAATCTGGTACCCAATGTACAATCCAGTTCACTCAGGCAAACTTTATCATTGAACTAGAGCTCTACAAAACGTATTACAAAAGCCAGTCCTTTGCCTATAACAGTACACTATTAGCTTGTGGTGTGGATGACCAAAAACCAGAAATTTATAGAAATTCTGTAATACTGACTTCAGAAGCTATAGGCCTGGGCTGAGTTCCCTCCCAAATGGAAAGCCACAAATTTGCAACACCAATGTAAGAACGATGAAATTAGAAAAGGCTTCTCCTCTCCCAATGCAACTATTCTGCAATAATTATTACAAATCTGCAGTTTTCACTGTACAGTTCTTGAAAATCCTCAATGCACAACTTACAAATACTTTACAATTCTGATCACTTTACACAAATGATGCTTTAATTACTTTGTAGCTTTTCTCTGAATTTTACAAAAATATTTCCTCAAAGATTTCTACTCTTTTATTTAGTGAGGTTGAGAAAAAAAATAATAATATTTGCGATCTCTGGGAATTCCCATGTACCTGTAGGCTGATCTTCTGCATGCAGCATTACTAATGACTACACAGAAGAACTGTGTGCCTGGAAACTTTCACAAAATGCTAAAAAAATGAGAAGGACTGAAAAATATGCACTAGTTTCAGCAGACTGACAAAAAGTAGTGCAATATTAAATATTACTTCATCACTTTTAAGATTGGGTTTTTGTATACAGTTATGTGAACTGAACAGAAAAAAATAAATTATAAATTCAATGGAAAAGAGGGAACCTATCATACTGACACTTAGGTATTACTGTTAGTGCTATAACTAAATTGGAGTTTTTAAAATATCAAACCCAGTATTATGGGAGTAGTAACTACTGATAGAGAAACAGATGACCATGCCATGAAGAACACTCTTTTATTTTAGATAATCACTTTATACCTCTTGAAGTTAAAGTGCAGCATTAGGAATAATCCCTACTATATCCCACATTGCATAGATTGTTTCCACTCCCTTCCCAATAAATATTCTACAGCAGCTCTGGCACTGTCAACAAAAAGGTTCATCAAGTACTTTCAGCCAACCCTCCTTGCACAAAAGCAGAAGGGATTAATTGCAGAAGCCTGCAAGATCTGAACAGGTAAAACCGTGCAAATTATTAATGAACTTCACAATTATTAGTTTTTTTCCAGTAATGGCTTGGCTCCGTGCTTACCTAATCAGGGGGAACATCTAACCAGAAATAAGTTACAGTAGACTGCCAGCTCATACATCTTAAAAGCACTCATCCAACATCCCATATTGCTAAAATCACATCTAATCCTTCCCTAACCTAAATATGACTCACAAATGCCAGTGAGGTTTCCTGTCCTGATGCCCATCTTTTATTTGCAAGCGACTTTCTTATTTTCCCACCTGTTCTGTGCCCATGATTTTATTCTGAATGCAGTCTCTGAGTAACTCCATGGATTAAAAAGCAGCGGAATGAATACCTTATTCATTTGGGCAGGTCTCTTGTAGGTTGCCTTTTTTTTAAGCCACCGAACTTCATAGCTGCAAAAGACAGGGAGGCTGAGCTTGGTAAGGATGTGTAATTGTAACTGAAGTTTCTTTCTGGCTTTGGCTGAGCAAGATTACATGTAACCAGAAAGTAACCACACATCTACTACTAGCATGGCTCCAGCAAACCGTGGGAGTCTGAAAGGGAATAACCACTGTAAATGGTCCTGACAGGCACTGAGCAGAGGGAACTCTACCTTAAGAACTTATTTCTTGATTAAAAAACCGAGCCAGAAAAAGATCTCAAAAACCAAAGGAAGATAAAATAGTAAATCCTTCCCTTTTTATATTCATTCTTCACACAATCTGTATTTTACCAACAGTGTAGATCTTATTCTGTAAAGTAATTTTTGCTTGAATGGAAGTGATTTGGGAGTTTGGTGACTTTTTGGTAATTATTATTTTAAAAACAACAAAACAGCATTCTGACTAGTCTGTCCCCCAGCAGAATTTTTGAAAATGCATGCCATAACCCAAAAGAGTTGCTACACAACAGCACTGTCTACTGATACTTGAGAAAAAAAGTCAGCCTTTCTGTATATATATTCAGTACAATAAAAAAACCCCTGCCATTCTGAGCCTTTCCCTGCATTTTCCTGTATGGCAATAATTTTGCAGAGAAAAACATGCAGGTACCTGAAAACATTTTCTAATTCCTGAATAAAGGGAGGGTGGGAGTGTTCCAGCTTTCTTCCCTACAGTCTGTGTTTCCCTGTACTTAAAGTCCTACTCTACTTTCATACAGGATAAACATGCTTATAGTTTCAGCAGGTGTTAGGAGAAATACTTTACATCATTTGAGCTTTTTGTCCACTCAGATTCAGTCCCCTGCATACGCTTTTTTTCCCTATGTGGAACAATTATTTGGTTCAAAGCATTATTAGCAGGCTGCTGCAATTTCAAGCATTGCTAGAAGGTGCTACTGTATCATAAGATTCTTACATTCAATACTTGTGGCTCAGAATTTGTCTGTAGATAGCTTTCACATGCACAAAAACCAGTTGAAAACATTCATTTTTGTCTTTGTATTACAGAAAACTAGCACTGATCTGAGAGCAGAGGAAAGTTTTATGGTCCAGGAAGTTGTCATAGCTGCCAAAATTGGTTTCAGCTGTACAGCTGAGGAATTTGGCATCGGATATTTATGTTGAGCTGTGCAGAACTTTAGAAGTTCTGTAACTGTACAACTTTTGGAAATTTAACTTTGCTCTTTAGGAATCATCTGGCATAATGTCTCTTTGTACCTTTATAATTTTCTCTTGAATAAAAATCTTCCTTTTGTAGGCTTTTCACAGCTTGTTTTCCTGTACCTGTATGATTCTCCAACTGATGTCAGCCTTCTGCGGCTAATGCCAGCTACCTGGGCTAATGATCTCTGTAAGACCCATCCTTCCCGACACCTTGGCGCTCGGTCCAGGCTGTCCAGGCAAGCCTCACCCGCCAGGAACATCAGCTTTCAAACCAGCTGGCCAGATTTCGAACAGTCTTGATTTGATTCCCAGCTGCCCTAACAGCCTCGCAGACCTTGCAGAAATGCTCATCCCAGAACGAGGTGACGTGGACTTCGTATTTCTTCCTCCAGGCAAAGTACCGCCTGTAGTTTGGTTTGTTTTTATCGAGGAATTTCAGGTAGGTGGCCAGCAGCCTGGGGCTGGGGAAGTCGTCAACGTGGATGAAGGAATCTGGGGGGATGAAGCGCTCGTAGTTGGCTCTGCGGGGTCCGAGGACGACGGGCACGGCGCTGGCGGAAAAAGCGTTTCTCCAGAGCTTCTCGGTGATGTAGTCGGTGTGCTGGGAGTTCTCGAAGGCCAGGTAGAACTTGTAGGCTGAGACGGTCTCCACCAGGCCCCCCTCGGCCAGCGCCAGCCCCCGCGCTCCGTACACGTCGATGGGCAGGTGCTCCTTCAGCTGGCGGTAGTAGCGCACCCGGGCGTGCTCCTCGTTCCAGTTGCTGATGACCCAGGCCACCAGCCGCGTCTTGCGGGGCAGGACGAAGGGCCGGGGCGCCGGCGGGACGTAGAGGTACCCGTAGGGAACGAACACGTCCGAGTCGCGGCGGTAGGACATGGTCCAGTTGAAGAGCCCGGCCAGCCCCCGCAGGCCGGGCGAGTGCGACGGCGACTCGAAGTTCATCCACACCCAGCGCTGGCGCGGGGGCCGCGGCGGGGACCCTCGGGGCATCCCCTCGGCGCCGTGCCGCACCAGGTCGCGGTGGTGGAACAGCACCGCCTGCGCCTCGCCGAACCGGCTGCGGTCGGCGCTCAGGCGGCAGCCGCTGATGTTGTAGCGCCGCCGGCAGTCGGGCAAGCGCCGCGGGCGGCCGAAGGGCTCCCACCACAGCAGCACGGTCACCGCCTCGCCGTCCGCCCGGGCCGGCTCGGGCAGCGCCGAGTACAGGGCGAGCGCGGCGGCGGCGCCCAGCAGCCCGGCCGCCAGCGCCCACCGCGGCCCGCGCAGCCGCCGCCGCCACCGCCGCCAGCAGCAGCCGCGGCAGCGCCGCGGGGCCGCATCCATCCCCGCCGCCCGCTCTGCCCCTCGCAGGGCTCCGGCGGCGCCGGGGCCGGGCAGCGCATCCTGCGGCTGGGGCAGCTGCTGCCGCCGCCGCCGCTCTGCCCCCACCCCCGCGCCCGGCGGCGGGGAGGTGCTGCTGCCACCGCCCCTCCCGGCCATGCCGGCCCGTCCTCCGCCCGCCAGCTCCCGGCCCGGGGCCGCCCCCCGCCCCTGGGCACCGCCTCGCCCCGCCCGCCGCGGCCGCGGCCGCTCCGCCCTCGGGGACAGAAATGCTCGGGGCCCCGGCGGGGTCTCCCGGCTCCGCCGCAGCGGCCGGGCAGCTGCGGCCCCGGGCCGCTCGGTTACTCATGCCCGACTCGGGACCGCAGAAGGAACTTGTGTCCCCGCGCTCAGGAGGGATCCCCGGTGAGAGGCCAGGCCCCAGCACGCACGGGAAGGGTTGTAGGGACGCTCACAGGGGGTCTCAGGGCGCCCGCGCCCTGGCAGCTCTGGTGGGTTGACTCCGGCTTGGTGCCGGGTGTTTTTCACAGCCGCTTTGTCACTGCCTTCATCAGCAAGGCAGAGGAGAGAAAATATAACGAAATGCTCTCTGGTCGACATATGAACAGGGAGACATCACTCGGCAGTTACAGTCACGGGCAAAACAAAACCGATTTGAGGAAATTTACTTGATTTATTGCCAATCAAGTCAGACTAGGGTAATGGGAAATTAAACCAAAACTGAAAACACCTTCTCCTCACCCCTCCCTTCTTCCTGGGCTCAATGTGTCTCACAATTTCTCTGCCTCGTCCCCAAAAATGGCACAGGAGGATGGGGAATGGAGGCTATGGTCACTTCATCACATGCTGCTCCTTCTTCCTCAGGAGAAGGACTCCTCACACCACACAAAAAGAGGATTCTTTTTGCTCTTTTACAGCTTTCTTAGAATCTTACATGTTTACTTTAAAATCTCAGTTATTTAAAAACTACAAAACCTCATGGTTACCAGAAAATTACTTTTTCCAGCTCTGCTTCACAGAGTTGCTGTGAAAACGTACATCACATAGGCTCAAAACTCTTTTTTTTTCCCAAGTAATTTGCTTCAGTGAGCTGACAGCTTGTTGACTCACACAGTTCAAACAGTGTTTGTGCAGAACTGAATGAGTTTCCAGCTCCGACATTGCACATGCTCATAGCCAACAGCTGTAGATCCAAGGTCCTCTCACACATATCTACTGAAGGCAGCAGAGTTACACCAGGCATAAATTCTCACTGACTGGATTTCAGCACAGATTTTTACATACCGCATATGTCAAGGCCCTGTGACTTTATATTAGTAAGAAAAGTGTTTACTCAAAAAAATAAAGCATAGTTGTGTGTGAAGGTGATGTTAGGTTAGAAACTAAGTCATCCATAAACCTATTGTACATAGTCATTCCATACTGTGTACGTAGTACTTCCATAATCCATTCTGCAAGCACTCATAAAACTTAAGAAATGCCAACAGCTGTGGTTGGAGTTGGTATCTGGCTGCCTGCTTCAACAGAGTTGCCTGGAAGGGTTCTCCATGGAATGTTAATCCACCCTAAAGGATGAGGTGAATCATTGCCAGCACCAGCACCTGTTTTGATAAATAACGGATTTTAGTCACACTTTGCTACAGTAGAAATCTGAAAAAAAAAAAAAAAAGGAAGAGTAGAATCCTGTCAAGCCTTAAGATGAATGTATATTCAATCCAGAGCCCACCTGATACAATGAACACTACATAAAATGAACACAATCCTTTGTCTGCATTAATCAAGGATTCAAAGTGGTCCAAACCCACAACTGTTGATTATTTTGTATATTCAGACATTTTCCCGATAGTATGAGAAATCTGAGACTTGTGAAAGTGAGTGGGAGAGCTCAACTGACTTCTGTGGAATTCTGATTCACTCAATAAATTTGATCATATCAACTGCAATGACAGTTCTTATTTTCCTTCAGGAGCTTTCAGCATTGATACGTGACTTTGGAGGAGTCTTTATCTAGTCACATTTCATTTCCATTGCTTGAAGATTTGCTGCTAAGCATTCCAAATTCAAAGCCTGAACAGTTACACTGATGATGCAAGGCCTGATCCTGCCTGTGGTAAGTCAACAAAAATGTTGGCATTAATTCAGCATTTATAAAATGTTTCAGGACAATGTAACATGGAAATCTTTATAAGCCAAATGGTGACAATTTTGAAAGACAAACAAAACCCAAAAAAAACCCTTCCCTTGTGAGGACTTCCAGCAAGAGTTCCCTAGTTAGTTTTGATTTTTTGCAATCTCACAGTGAAACTTCAGTGTGACTTTCATCTGCATTTCAGTGGCAACCATATTAAGACTATTGTTATACCAAGACAAGTATGTTGAATTATTTAGCATTAAATCAAAAACATGCCTTTCTGTATTCCTCAACACAACATCAGCTAAAGCTCTACACTGCATCTTTTAAAAAGCTATTATTGAAATCCACAGTAAGTTGTGGTTGTATATACACCTTAGATATCCAGAACTATAGTAATGTTTGGTTTATTATGGCAAATAAGAATTTAATCATTTCAAGATGAGAGGACAGTAGCCTAAATAATTTCTATGAGTAATATTGTCACCTTAAATTAATTTTCCTGTTACACCTGCCTCTGTGGAAACTAAATATATGTTTACATTTACATGTTGTATGTAGTTCACTAGTACAAAAATCTTTATAGAATTTATATATAGAGCAAGATGAAATGTATATTTGAGATATATTTTAGAATTTTTACAAATTACAGGCCCGACTTCTGTTGCTGCTGTCTTCAAACCCTCCCAGTATGGGAAGTAGCAGAAATACATTTAATTGGATTTTCATCATAATCACTACTGAAAGTAATGACAGTTGTGCCTTCATCCACAAGTCTAGCAGACTCCTAGAAATCTTGGTGTAGTAAATTTAACAGCCAGATGTGATGTGTTGCTGTAGAGTGAGGGATACAGGGAGTGACCTCACTATCAGGACCAAGGTTGGAAGTAGGGTGTCCTCAGGTCTGTGTGTAGGTCAGATGTCTCTCTCCCCTTTTTAATGTTTCGTTTCTTGTCTAGAGAAATAGATCCCAGACTGGCAGTAACCCATGTCAACTTCAGTTTGCCTCATTTCTGCTATAATACACAGCACATCCATGGCACAACCACATCAGCTACTTTGTGCTGACAGGGTTTTGTCAAGCAGTTTTGTTCACTCTGACTCAGGAAAAACTCCATGGACATCGCTGAGAAGTAGAACATGATGAAGGTTGAATAGTGTTTCCAGATGCCTAAAGACCTCCCACAAGGAACACATCTGGTTTTCTCTGCTTTGGAGATAAACCAGTCCAGGAGATAGCCCCATGGACTGAGGACCACCCAGACTTCTTGGCACTATATGTGCAGCTTGGGACTGCTTTAACTGCTCAGTGGAAATCACAGCAAGTAGTCATGTTGCTGATAGGAATTTAAAATAATATGCTGTGTGTTAGTAATGAAGCTGTTGCAAAAGAAAAAATATTTTGCTTATTTGAAGGTTGAATATTTGCCATCACTTTCAGCAGTAAATATTTTTGCCTGGAACTTCCCAACTGGCTTCCTCCTCTACTCTGAGTCACTCTGTTTTGTCACACTTTAGAAATATTTAAGCCTAGAAAAGTCTTTGAGGCTATTTGTCAACTGTTTCAAAAAGGCAGTTTAAAAGGTACTGTTAGACATGATTGTGTTTTCAGCCACAGCTATCAACCCAGACATTCTGTCAGCCAGGGAAACTGTGTGGAGTTTTTCATCATAAGAAAATGTGATCATCTTCAAACCATAGGAGCATGCTGTCTGGTACCAAAATGACACTACAAATGATGTTGAAGTCTCCTCTTCATAAATAGTCCCCATGGTTTCAATGTGAGTTTTGCCAAGAACCTAAATTCTCTATGAAAAGGTGTGATGAAAGTTTTCTTCTGTATAAATGATACACATTGTATTTCAGCATGAAGTTTAAATGCCTGTAATTTGATTACCTAGTGTTTCATATGCAGGATTATGATCTTTCTGCTTGGAAGTTTAAAATTTGGAAATACGATGAGAGACAGAAGATCCAGTTGAAAGCTGATGCCTCAACAGTTTCTGGACAGACAAACTAATGTTTCTGCATATGCAGCAAAGTCAATATTAAAATATTCTGCCAGCTACAGTTTCACTTGTGACTGTGAGCAATGTTGAATTAAAACTATGCAAAGTTGGTATTTCCAGGTCAAGGCACAGGCATGAGTAAATGTGCTGTGCACACTGTGAATGAAGGATCCTGTCCAGGACACTCTTCAGTCTTCCACTGAAGCACACAGCTTTGTTGTTGGCCAGGGTAGACCAGAGTAGAAATCAGACAGAAAACTTTCGTAGCAGTCCCACACGACCCTCAGACACTTTAACACACGTATAGTACCAGCAGGCCAGAATTTGGCTCTGCAGATATTTGTAAGCAGTCATCAATAATTTCAATCTTCCTTGTGTTTTCTGAGCACTGGACTTCATCTTATGCAGCCACAGTGGCAAGAGACAGTGACATGCAACCAGCAGTGATGCTCTCTTTTTACCCAGTGAGCATCTCCCGAGACAGAGAGCAAGGATTTGTGGTAAAACTTCTCTTTGGACACTTTCAAACATCAGGGATCAGGGTCATATCTCAGTCGAGGAGACAAAACTAGCCCTAATTTGAAGTAAATCTCCTGAACCACATATAATCTAGTTATGGGGCTCTCAATACCAACTGCTTTAATAACTTGACCCCTCCTGTTGTGTTTCATTACTTAATAATGTACATGTAGCCTTGGAAAAATGTGTTTAATCACTGGTACTAATACAGGCAATGATGTAATGATATAAGCAATGATAACAATTGTCTTTCAAAACAGTAGTGTTGAATTTGGCAATGAAATAAAATAAAAAAAAGAGAAAAGGAGAGAGCTGAACAGTTAGACAGTAAAAAGTCACTATGATAAAATGGGAGCACAGTTAAATTACCCAACACCCTATTTAATGAAATATTATAAAGATATTCTAAATATCAAAGTAATATTAATAACATTATTATGCAGTATTATATCTAAGTAAATAGCTTTATTTTATTCAAATAAAAGAGGAGACATGTAAAAAGGTCACAAACCTGAATATATCAGACTAGGTAAGAAATACCACAGCCTCATAGTTAGGTAATACATTCAATAGAAAAGATCTAACAAGCATTTATCTGTTGTAGAAGGTCACACAAAAAGGAAGAGGGAGAAAATGAGCACCAAATGCTGCACCAAAACTGAGCTAATGCAGGAATCCAGGACTGAGCCAGAAAGTCTTCTCATTTGGAAAATTTTAAAACAAGGTTATGAAATAGAATGGGAAAGCATGGAGAGGAGAGTAGGATAAAAATGAAACTAAGCAGAAGCAAGATGCAACAAACCTAATCAAAATCTCTGTCCAGAAATCAGTACTTTTCAAACATTATTATGTGATTCATAATCAAATTTGCATCTAAAAAGTGAGAACAGTATTTTCAAAAGGAGCTACTGTTCTAGTTCCTCAGGTACAATATTCAGTACAATAACCTTTTTCATTTAGAAGTCAAATGGAAACACTGAAAAGAGTTGGCTTGAAGCCAGCTGAGGGGCTGTTTTGGTTTTCCTCTTTTCCTTTTCTCACTGATACAAAAATAAAATCAAACTTTTAATGTCAGAGAAAAGATCCAGAAAATCAGAGAACAAATGTCTGATTTAATTCACAGATAATTGTAAAAAAACCCAAAGGAAGTCAAAGTCCAGTTTAACAAAGTTGTCACTGAGACTTCCCTTTTAAAAATATTCAATGTGTTATAGATACTTCCAGAGGAACTGAGAGCTCCAGAAACAAATCCCATCTCCACCTCTTAGGCAAGGTTTTGGTATTGGGGAGCTGACTACAGGGGTGACTTCTGTGAGAAGTTTTAGAAGCTTCCCCTGTGTCCAACACAGCCTATGCCAGCTGGCTCCAAGACAGACTAACGAAGGCTGAGCCAATTAGCAATGGTGATAGTGCTTCTGAGATAACAAATTTAAGAAGGAAAAAGTTACTGCACAGAAGTAATTGCAACCAGAGAAGAGAGGAATACAATATGTGAGAACAGCCCTGCAGACCCCAAGGTCAGTGGAGAAGGAGGGGCAGGAGGTGCTCCAGGAGCCAGAGTAGCCGGTGGGGAAGACCATGGTGAGTCAGCTGTGCCCCTGCAGCACACAGAAGTCCATGGTGAAACAGCCTCTAGAGGACTCCATATCTTTTCTGGTTTTATATAGTATGAAGGATTCACATTTGTTGCATAAGTGGCATGATAATACGAAGCAAACTAATATTAATTTGGTATTACCTCACTGTAATAATGGTTTAAGAGTGAGAGTGGCAGGTTATTTCTGATTCCATGCTGTCTCTGTGGTTCTTTGGTACTGTGATAGCTCTTATATGGAGAGAGGCTTATTTATGTTAAACTTTCATTAAATCAGGCTAAATAACGAATCACAAACTCTTGCCTTCTAAAATGCTCAGTTTAATGGATGAACTCAGCCTAAAGCATTATGAGACATTTCTTCAATTACATTGAAATCATCTGCTGGAACTTAGAATCCCTTTGCAAAAGAGAAAACTATGAAAATGTTGACTTTCACAGTTGCACGTTTTTCAGCAAGAACATCTTGTAATCTTTCGATTGTGACATTTTCATCACTGGTGGAAGTATGGATTGGATTTGGCTACTTACAACATTGGATTAAAAAGTAGTATGAGGATATGAATAAAACAACAAAAAGGAAATAGCTTTATATTCAAGTAGAACTTTATTAAAAATCCTATAAATAAACATCCACATTTCCAAAGGTAGCTAGTTATGCTAATGTTTGATTTGATGCATCAAAGCAGGCTCAGGGCTTCACAGCACTGACATTCAGCAATCTGTAAAAAAAAGACAATATCTGCTCTAAGGATGGATGAGACATCACATAGTGAGCCCTCCAAACTACTGGTCACTTTTAGGTAAAGGCAGTGAAAGGAAGAAGCAAAATGCATTTACTTAAGTAAATTCAGCAATATGAATATATTTTTTTTTCTTTTTCTCTTTTCTATTTATATCTCCTGCATATTTTCCCTTCATTTTTTGCAGTTTCTATCTCTGTGCTCCTGAACTGTATTCTCCTCTTCTCTGTTTCCTTCAGGGATTTCTAACCTTCTGTATGTCTCCTCTTTCATTCCCCTTATCAGTGCTTCTTCCTTTTCCTTCACTGATTCCTCTCCCTCTGGCACTAAACACAGCGGGCTCATCTTCTCTCATCGTCTCTTCCCTTTTGTATAGCTTTTGTATAGCTCTTCCCTTTCTATAGCTTATACCCACTTCATCTCCCCACTAGCCTCTCCTTTCTTCCCCAGATCCTTACACAGAAAAAGAGTATATGAATGGAGATGGTTTGGTGAACACAGGAGCTGAAGCCAGATTGCTCCCAGTTTTTCTCCCATTATGTATCTTTTGTGCCACCTCTTCTCTCATGATGCCTGCCTGACCACTGCAAAATAGGCAGCATAGCTAGTGAGGAGGGCACCACTTGTCTCCAGCAGCAGTCCCTGGGAATGAAGGTACATCCAAATTCCCAAAGGAAAATCAGCAGATTTGCAGCACCTACATCAGTCTGAGTAACCTGCTTTGTTTTAAAGCTCTTCTCTCTTCATGGTTCAGAACAGAAAATGGAGATCATGATCTTTGAAAACTCTGCTTGCCTTCACTAGAAGCCTGAAGTACATGAGCTTTAAAATGATGCCAACATCTCAAAACTCTGAGTCCTTCTGTAGTTGTTAGGTCTGCTCTATAACTAAAGCATTCCTGCAAGTAAGTAAAGTAAAGGCAGCATGGCCAAAGGCTGTACTGGTTAAACACTTCTTATACCAGTAATAGCTTAATCCATGCTGCTCTTGTAACTAAGATGCCACTATCTCCTGATCTCACAAGATCAAGATAGGAAGAAAGAGGTGCTAGTCATGCAGATGCCTGTATTTTTAAAACACTATCCCCCAAGAATGTGGGAAGGAGCTTCATGTAATGGCAAAATATGCTGAATTCATATATTCTGCAAGCTCATGGCACTAAAAATACTCCTCTTAAAAAGCAAACAAACTCTGTTTCATTAGGGTTTAAAGAGAGTGCCCACATTAGGAAAGAATGTGGGCACACACTAAGCTAAAATCTGTAAGAACAGGTCTGCTCTACAGAAGAACCACACTCTACAGACTGTAAAGAGAGAAACATGTTTCCCAGAGCACCAGCTGACCATTGCAGGCAAGTACTAAAATGCCTGAAAGAATACCTAAATCAAGCTCCCTTCAGGCGGTGTGCTGGAGGAGTGCTTTTCCAAACAATTGGATTTCTTAAAGCTGGATGCTAAGAACAGTAAGGTTCATAATGAACATAAAACCGACACCATCTATCAGCAGGAACCAAGTGATTATTCCACAAAATAGATGTGGAACCTTTACAAAAGGTTTCAGAATATGAAATAAGGTGACTCAACCCAGCAATCCTGAACAGATTTCTTCTGCAAAGATTTCAAAGTCTGTTGCCTTCTTACTAAAGGAAGAGATGGGTTAGCTCTGCAGAAAGATGCCCCGCAATTTAAAAATTAGGTGTTATTGTGAAAGTTTCTTATTATTGACTCTTACTTTTCGTTCTTGCATGTCTTGAGTAGAATTGAGGCTGTAAAAGTAAATCGTTGTTGCTCTGTGACTCTGGTTTCAGGCTTCTAATGGAGAAATTGTTCTTCACATTCCAAACTCCTTCCAGAGCCACTGTTAACAATTTGACAAAATAATAGCTTTATAACTGATTACTTCATTTTGTTCTAGAATTAATATAAAACTACACAATAATATTTTTCCATAGTTAACGAAAAGAGATTGACATCTTCAGAGAGCAATTCAGATTGCTAAAGGTACACAACACTCTCGTCTGTTTATAGAAGCTCTTAGGACTACTCAGGCACCTAACTGAAGCAGGATACAGCTTGTCTATAATAAATAAGGAACAGCAGTAATACCACTGATGCAGTCAGCATCCTTTTTTTGGTCATACTGGAATACTAAATGCCCTCATAAAAATATAGAAAACAACACTACCCACTCCCCCCCAAGAAAACCCAACCCAAACCAAAAGCTAACCAAACAAACAAAAAACCAAAGCCATCACCAGCAGAACAAAATTAAAAGCTAATTTATTTTGTGGAAAGGTTACAATTTACTGGCCATCTAATTTATTTTAAACAATACACTTTAGTAGTCTAAACTGTGTAAATCAGTACCATCCAGCCTGACAACTGTTGTCTATCAGAGCCCAAGCCACTTAGTAAGCATCTATAATTGTCCAAACAGCTGAAAAAGAAATTCATTACTGGCTGAATAATCTGTACACCAGTATCTGTATTATCATTTTTATCATTTATCATTGTTTTGTTATGCCTATAACATTATGCTGTACATACAATTTCTGTACTGAGCTTGCTATAAATCCATATTACACAGTTGTGCAACAAATATTTGTGCAGTGTTTCTCTATTACCTTGAGTACTTTAAATCTTTGTAGCATACATTTCTTTGGGACACTCCTCAAAAGTCATGAGAATATATAAGGTAGCATCCATTTATTCAACCAGACTGAAATATTCCTGACAATTTTGATCCATTGGCAGATGGATGCAGGAAAAATAGTTGTGTTTAGCTCTTAGTAACATTAGGCACATGAGCAGATTGAGCAGACCAGTGTTAACATCTGCAACTCAGCTCTGTGTTCAGGACCCCTTCTCAGTCAACAGGAAAAGAACAGGCACTTTTAAAGCATGACACATACAAGGACAGGTGTCTAGGACAAGTCAAAAGCATGTCCAAAGTGCCTTCTTTCCTCAAGAAAAAGGTAACAAAACCCCCCTACTGCTTGGCAATTGTTTCTGGTTTATTAAACTGATATATCATATGGATGTTCTCACGTGTCTCATAATTTCTTTCCAAAACAATAGAGAAACAAGTAATATATGCAATTCTGCTGTTTCTAAATTTTCTGCATGCTATTACATAAATGTTCTGTAATTTTGCCACAGTTCCTCAAAACAGTCACTTGTCCTGAAAAACACTTGCCATTTGCTGATAAAGAGGATTACCTGCAGCTGGATGTTTAACATTGCATTCTTCTTCCTGAAAATGAAAGTGCTCCTCCAGTATTTCTTTAACTCTCCTAGGTGGCTCAACATACACACATTTCTGCCCTGTTAGTAAAATATATTACAAAACAACCAGTTATTACAAATCCCCTGAATGCTGATGCACTTTGCTGAATGCAATTGTCAAGCTATGCTACTCTGCACCCATCTCGAATACATTGTGAACCAAATAATTTACAAATACGCGGTAGTGTTCAGCCAAGCCCTACTCCCCAGTGCTGTGCAATTCCTGAGGACAGGAGGATGGTACAGGACAGCAGCCTGGCAGGTACAGCGCTGGTAGCCAAAGCCACCCTAGGGCCACTCGGGAGACAGCCACTGTGCCTCCCCGTGACAGACATCCCAAGGCAGCGCCATAGATGGAGAGGCATCCAAAAGACGTCCTCGCTGCAGGAAGTTTCCAAGGAGCTGAAGAGGGATGCGGACACCCCATGGCACCAGGGCCAGCACCTGCGGCGGTGCTGGGGGACATCAATGAGGAGCCGCGGGGAGCGGCTGGGCTCCCGAGGGGACACGGCGGGGTGGGCACGGGCAGGGGCAGGGGTGGCCGGAGGCCGGGGACGGCCGTGCTCACGGGGCTGCTCGCCGCGGACGTCGCTGCTGGGCTCCCCGGCCGCCGCCGCGGACACCTGCCGGCCCGCCGCCCTCATGGCCGCCGCGCCGGGGCGGTTGGGCCGGGCTGTTGCCGCCGGGGTTGCCAGGCTGCCCGGCGGGCGGGGCCGGCTCGGCGGGGCCGCGCTCGGAGGCTGCCGGCTGCCCAGGCACGGAGGAGTCTCCCAGGCAAGGTGCGGCCAGCCGCCAGCCCCACGGACAGCAGGCCCTGGCCGCCGCTTGGGGCACGGGGTGGGGGACAGCTCTGGGTGTCATTAACAGCTGCTCCTTCGTGTCCCTCAGCAGGGCCACGGGAGCGGGACACGCACATCACAAACTCCGTACGACTGTGGGCTGTCACCACGGGCCTGCCCTACGGAAGGATACCATCCTCGCCCGAGGCAATGGCGGACTGAGGGGAAGAACAGAGTCCAGTTTAACTGATGTATATCCACTGCTACTCAGAAGTACTCGTTTGCTCATAAAACAGGGCATCTTCAGACACTGCTTATTGGACTGAAGTGGCCTTGTAATCCACGTCCCTTTTATTCCTTTATGCATTTCAAGATATATTCATCTTCCAGAGATGTCCTGAAACCAAACTTTCAAGAAGAATAAGCATTAAAATCATGTTACACCATTCACAGTTCAGAAGCTGTGCTTCTGTTTTGCAACAGAAAATGCTGAACATTTCACACTGCTTCTAAAGGGTGGGTGACCAAGACACTCCCCACAGTAGCCCAAATGTGGGCCAATATACCCCAACCCTGCTGCTACTGCTACGATTGTGCTGTGTATGTGTTAGTGAAAGGAGCTTAGGGTCACTCAGCACGGTGTCTGCATGGGACAGTGAAATGTTTACTACACTGTGACATTACTTAAGCACTTAAATTCAATTTTCAGTTCAATTCGTTTAGCAGAGAAGCGACTTTCTCCACTTCTAAATTACAGATGGTGAAGTTGAACCTGAAAATCATACTGCATGCCCTTACCATGGGGAATTTTAGTCTAACTCAAAAGTGCAAGGAAAATACTAAATTACCGGTTACTAAATCAGGCACAAAAGTATGCTGGCTGTTTATCCTCAAATGGTTGTGGCTCATTTTTTCCAACTAATACCACATTCTTGACATTAAGTCTTTATTCAACTTAATTGCAAGGGAAAAGTAAATAAGACCTTGATAGAAAGTCACTTCCTTGAAAAGCACCAGGAAAAAAAAATAAACCAAAACTACTTTCTTATCCTATGAACTACTTTCTTACCCTATGAATAATGTGTTTGATTTATAAACAGGCGATCACATTGATAAATGTGTTAAATGGGCTTTCAATTAAAAATATGACAAAATACTTTGGGTTAAATATTTTATTTTATAATAAGCCTTACATTAGGTTCATTAAACATTTTGTGTATCACCCAAATAAGTTACATTCATTCTGAGCTTTCATGCAGTTTTTAAAAAGTTAAAATTTCTCAAAAAATAATTTTCAAGTGAGCTGTAATAAACTCTGCATAACCAAGCCAGAATTTTATCACATCAAGTAAATATTCCAGTTCTCCCTCCTGCTTTGACACTTCAGACAACTTACAAAGGCCTCTCCAAATCTGCACTAATTAAATAGAAAGTCACAGAAATTACTGACTTTCTGACTACCTTGACTAACAGCAGTAACACTTCAAAGCACGAGCGTGACCACTGAGCTGTGCTGCAGGAAGTGACATTTTGCCCGAGGAGAATTCTGAAGTATCTTACATTAACACGTCGTTGCAAAGACACAGACCACCACCGATGGGCATGCAGAACACTAAAAAGAAAGAGGCAGAAAACCTCACATTCACAAGCTTTTAGGGGGACACAGCATTTATGCAGTCTTCTACTATTTCAAAAAGGTAGTGATATATATCAGTCCTCCTCGCAATGTCAAGGGCAGTTTCATCCAAGTTGTTCTTCAAGTCTGGCTTCACATAGCGATTCATCAGCAGGAGCTCAAGGGTTTCCCTGCTGTTTTTGTTTCCTGCAGCAATGTGCAGGGGTGTCAGCAGACCATTTGTCTGCGCGTTGATGTCTGCACCCTGCTGAAGCAGGAACGCGGCCACTCCGGTGTTGTTCCACTTGCAGGCGCTGTGCAGGGGCGTCCAGCCGTCCACGGTCTGCGCGTGAACGTCGGCCCCTTGGGCCACCAACTCGTGTGCAACATCCAAGTGCCCGCTGTAGGCAGCTCGATGGAGAGGAGTGTATTGATCTTCATCACGAGCGTTCACTGGAGCCAGCTTTTCCGTCAGGAGCCTCTTCACGGTACTCAGCTGTTTAAAGAAAGCAGGGAACTTCGTGTGATTCTATGAAACAAGATGTATGACTTTGATGGTCCTGAAGTTTAATGGAAAAGCAATTCCTGTCAGTGTCAAAAGCACTTATAAAATCTCAGATACATCCTTTCCACCCCTGTTAAAAGGCTTATTTGCCACGAAGAGTCTAGCATGCTTTCAGTTCACAGAAGTTAAAGAAAAGTGCTGTTACTTGAACTTTGAACAGGAATCAAAATTTGTTCTAAAAGCCAATGGATCCAGAGACATTTTAGTGTGTATGGGCTACATTGGGGAATGTTTTACATACAGTGGCTTGAAAAACCAGATCAAAACAGCTCAGAAAAAGAAAGAAAAGTATAGGTAAATTTTTGTTTGTGGATGAGACTACAGACGTGAGCTCAAAATAACATTCTTGTAAATTATACGTATGAACAGAGCAAGTGCCTTACCCGATTATTTTCAGCTGCCCAGAGTAGCAATTTCTCTGGATTTTTTTCCATTTTCTTTTCTTGCATTTCGTACCATTCCTCCGTTCTCTCTTGCTCATCATCATCATCATCAGACTGTCCTGACCAACAGCTCTGAGTTCCTACAGGAATCAAATGCCTGTGTGTCTCCAGCAGCTCAAGTTGGTTAAAATGCTCTGTGAAATCTTCAAACAGCTCGCTGTCATCATCGTCTTCATCAGCTTGCTTGTCTTTACTCATTTTCAATCAGCATCTGTGAGCAGCAGATGTACAACAATACTTACGCTAACTGTAACTGTTATCGGTGTACTATCAATAAAACTATCTGATGGATGATGTGGAAGTCAACAAACAGCAAAACTAAAGGGAAAACTCTGTGATGCTCCGCTAACCCGGTCTTTGCCAGCTCTGCCAGAACTCACAGATAATTCCCACGCTAGAAAAGCACCGCGTTACCCGATCCCCGAACGGCACCACCTTCAGACTGGGATCACAAAGCGGGGCTTTGCCGAGTGCGCTCGAAACGCTGCTCACTTTACTAACAAAGGGCCTGGAGAGCAGCCCGGACTTTGGGGCAGAGTCTCTGCTCCGCCCCAACGGCCCGGCCCGGTCCAGCCCGCAGCACCGCTCCCCTCCGCGGGGCCCACACCACCCGGGCAGGCCCCGCAAGAGACCGACCGATCCCCGCAAGAGACCGACCGATCCCCGCTCGCCCCACGGGTCCCCGGCCCGCCCCGCTCGGCCCCCCTTCGGTACCCGAGGCCCCAGCGCCGCCGGGGCTCCGGGCGGGGCGGGGCCCGGCGAGCGCTTCCGGGCCGCACGGCCGCGGACGTGACGGAACGGGCCGGGCCGGGCTGGGGGCGGTGCTCGGCCCGAGCAGCGGCGGGAGCGGGATCAGCAATCGTTCGGTGTGATCGCACCTCGCTGTGCTCCCGGCCCAGCGCCTGGTTGGGTCTTTTGCGCTTCGCGTACCGTCTGTGAAGAGAGGAGCTGAGTCCCTGAGCTGGCTGCGCTCTGTCAGAGCCTTCCCGTGGGGAAGGAACCTCGGCACGAGGATGAGCGCCATCAACTCACAGTAAGATCCCGCTGTCTGCAGCTCCCTGCAGGCCTGACACATCAGGCAGCAAGTGTTCTCTATGTCTGGGACGAGTTAAGAAGAGCTGGGATCATCAGTTGTGTTTTCCCTTTGGCCCTTGTGGTCATCATGCTTGCCTTCACGTACGCGTAAATTACCAGTGCAAAGAGAGAATTAGACTATTCAACAAGTATTTTTAAAAGCAAAAACCATACAAAGGGTTCTTTAGTTTTTAATTACATACTTCAGAGAGGGGGTGCTTGCAACCTTTTACTGGAGCAGAATGTCTGGGATAAACAAATCTTCCAACAAGCTGGTTTGGCTATGTGCTCTTTGTAATACAAGTGTAGAAATTCCCTATGTTTATTGCTCTCTGACACAAGTTTTCCTGTCTTATTCAGGGATGATGAAGATACCTTTAAAATACTCATTGCTACCGATATTCATCTTGGCTATTTGGAGAAGGATCCAGTGCGTGGAAATGATACATTTGTAACTTTCAATGAAATTCTGGACCAGGCTCAAAAAAATGAAGTAAGTGCTACTTTTTGGAGAGGGAAGGACTGAGGCTGTTGAAAATATGGTCCAGTCTGCCAGAAGCTGTAAAGTTTAGTACTGGTAGGTTCTCTAGTAATACCAAATCAAATGGCTGAACTATTTGTTGCATTCAGTTTCATTTCTGATTTAGTAAAAGGAATTTCTATTTCTTTGTGAGAGCATTCTTACTGAATCATGACTCTGGTTGTATAGCAAGTGATTTTGGATTGCCTGTGTTTCAGTGGTATCCATAGAGGGTTTATCACAGCAAGGAGGACGAATAACTTAGGTTAGCAGGAGTAGTGATACACAGTCTTCTGACAGATCAGTAGAGATTTGTTAGAAGCTTTTGAAGTGTTGTGCAGTGCTGAGTCACTGAAGTGAGCAGTTCTGGTGCTGAGCAGCTCTGGTGCCTGTACGATCAGCAGCAGAATCCTGTGGTGGGGTGGACAGAGAGGCTGCCTGAACTGGGGTGACTTCGGGGGAGCCGAGAGCTGCCAGGAGCCTGCAGCAGCTGATGGGACGTGGGTGGGGTCAGGAGCAGCCAAGAACCCCCCCACACCTGTAAAAAGAAGCTCCTGTCAAGTAGCAGCAAGCAGGAGCACCTCCAACACAGCAAACAGGCATGCTGTGGTGTGACTTTTTGTGCAGGAACATCATTTGTGCCCTGCC